TTTGCACAGGAAGAAGAATAATGTTGATATCACACAGCAGCATACTGCTTACTCAAAAAAAGAGCTGAAAAAGGACACAAAAAAACAAACGTTCTCTTATCTCTGTGTTATTATTAAACTCTTGTGTGATGGTAGTTGACAGTATCATAGCCCCAATATTAACAAAGAAGGAACGTAAGAAAGAAAAGAGCACAGCTATTAATAATGCCTGTTTTAAAAGCAATCAATGGCAAATAAGTCTTTGTGTAGTGAGACCCCAGCTGATGACGTAAAAGTAGGATTAAATGTGACATTACCGTTCAAACTGCACGTGCTTTAAAAATGATGGGATAGGTATTCAATTAAATACCATGTATGGCAGCAACTCAGGTCAGTTTTTTTTTCTTCCTTTTTTCGGGGGATTGGGGTTTGAAAAGAAATCAGAATTTCCATTAAAAACTTGGATATGAGTCAAATATGTGAATGAGAAATGCTGCAATAACAAGTGGAAATGCCCTACAAACCCCAAAACCTATGGCAAATATACGTTATTAATTATGTAAATGAAAAGGAAGAACAAAATGAAAATGAAAAAGTCCAAAAGTTAAGAAAAGCTGCAGACTTGCTTAGCACAATGAAAGTGTTCCTGACCACTAGGGGGGGTGATTACTAAATCTTAATGGGACAGATCCCTTAGTAATGGCATAAATTGGATGTTCAGAGAAAAATTAAGTGTTTAAAAAAGATAAAAAGCAAAAATTTCTTTTCTTTCTAGCCTACGTATTTTTTCTAGATGGAACCCTGTTTATCTTTTTGCAACAGAGCTGGTCCTTTAAGACTTTAATTTGTAGTATTATCTGTTGTCTGCAGTGTTGGAAGTACCAGTATTACACATTAGCAGCATTAGTAACTACATTGGTTTTCCATTGCAAAAGGAATCTAAGTAATTACTTTACTCATGTATTGGTAACAGCGTTATGTGACTTGCGATCCAACGAAGCGCTTTAAAGTAGTTCAGTAAATTAAAGGGATACTTTATAAATGCTCTGGTGCAGATTTTTACAACATTTACTCATTATGTCCAGGAACAAAGAAATTATATATGTTGGTAAGAAGTATCTCTTGAAAAACTCTTTACATCATCTCAACACTGACTGACAGGTTTGCTCCCTTTATTAACACATGCCCTTTACTTCTTAACATTATACTAAACTCACTTTCTTTCACACAGAAAGACTGGGATTATACAGTCCTGCTACTTTTTTCTGGCATAGTGTAACCCATGTTTAATTCTATTGCAATGTATTATTTTTAAATTGCTTTAGAATTACTGAATTTCAACTTTATACCATTTTGTAGCCAGTTAAATGTTCCCAGTCTGCAAAAATATTAAGTTCTAAAACATCTAATTTGCTTTATTGTTCTTGTATTACAAACATAAAACCTAATCACTTATACCTAATTATAATCCAAGCTCACGCACCAGTACTTTAGTCCTTTTAATGAATTATTGAATTCAATAATCAAAAGCAAACATTTTACATTTCATTATTGAACCTCCAGTTTTATTTAAAATTCCTAAACAGATAAAGTTATATAGTCATAAAAAAAATCTTGCATTTTAACTTTTAATGGTAATAAGTTTCTTTGTGCAGAAATTAAGTTACTAACTCAGTGACTAACAGAGTTAGTAACTTCATTACCTTTTTGAAAAAAGAAACTAGTAACTGCAACTAGTTACTTTTTTTTATAAAGTTGCAAACACTGATGGTCTGCTGGCATATGTGTTGAGCCCTTGGACCTCCATTGCTTCACTGCTCTGCATTTTCCCCATAGCATATATATTTTTTCTCTTTTCATGTGTTTTTTTTTTTGTTGTATTTTAGTCTAATTTTGGTTTTTGTAAGTCTTGTTTTTTTTTTTTGCAGGATCTTTTTTCTTGCAGTGAAATCATGCATTTCCATGGCGTATTTTTATTCCATGGTGTATATTTATTCGACTTGTATTTTCATTGCATTGTATTAAGCATTACAAAAATGAAAAACTGTACGGGGAAAAAATGAGGTAGTGACATTCTGAATCTATTCTAGTTTAAATTGATAAATAGTTTTATACAGTAATAAAAAAAATGTTTTCTTCAATTTCCCATTCTAAAGATCTTAAAAGTGCGTAATTTTTTATTGACCTGAGTTGCTACCAAAACTTCAAAATACAATCAGGAATAGAAAAATAAAAACAACACAAACATGGTCTTTTAATCTTTTTCATGACTATATCTGCACAGAGGGGAATTAGATATCTGAATTATTTTTAAATCCTTGTAAAGCTGATGTCAAACTGTGTTTTAGAAGCATATCTAAAAATGCTTAATTTGTCTCATGAAAAAATTAAGAAAGTCTTGATAATTATGTGAAATATGTTTGATGCCTATGAAGCACCCTGTTTAACAAAGTGCAGGAATTTTATGTACCTAAATCCATGCCTTAGAGTGCAAGGAAATGTGATGTCGGTATAATGGTGCGTTCAGACCGCACACGGTGAGCGCGGTGATTTCTTCGAGCCCCACAGGTGATTCACCGCTCTGCATGTCAGATGCAAAGTGTTAACACCCTGGACTGCATCATCAAATAGGAGAAGCTCCCCCTGCATAAAGCTGACACCCCACCGATGTGGAAAAAAAAACTCAGCAAATAGACTGAATGGTTATTGCTTCTTTAGTGCAGCTTTGTGCATAAAAAAATAAAAAATAAAAATAATAAAAAAAAGATCACGTGTGCAACTGTTGTTTCAGAGATATTACAGATATTTTTTTAGGTCACCCAGCAGTCAATTATCCCCCCATTAAGCTCCGAATTGAATAAAAATTATCGAGTCTACTTTATGTGCCACTTTATTTGTGCAGGTAAAACTGTCATTTGTGCTGATTTGTTTTTTTTTAAGATAGAACCGTTTTTAATGGCCACTGACATCAGCATCCATGGAAACCTTAGTGCTGCACTCATTTCCTGATGTAAAGTTGTTGCATAACAATGGGCAGTGACAGACTGCTGTGCTGGAGGTAAGTGAGGACGATTAACAGTACTTCTAGGACTAAGGCCCCGTCCACACAAAGTCAAAACGAACACGAAACGCTAATATTTTCCAGAACGTTTGTCGTAAAGACGGAGACGTAAAATAAATGTGATCGACCACACGAATGCATGAAAATGCTGCAAAATGTATGCCAGGCCTGTAAGTGGCGCTGTGGTGCCAAAGCAAAAATAGGCGACGAAATGTTGGGCATGCGCACTAATATTTATACATGGTTGGCCTGCGGGTCCATTTTCGTGGTTCAGTCAAATTCAGGTGCTGAACTATGTCGTCGATATTGCTCTGTTCTTCCTGGAGATATTCCAGAAGAAGAAGATTCTGTTGTAAGCCCGACAGCAGGGTGAGTAGCCTTAGCAGCAACGGCGCCATTGTTGTTGTGATACTGTGTCGCGCATGCGTGTTTAGAGGCGACGCTATGACGCATGCGTGTAAAAAAAAAAAAGCGGTTAGAGCGTAAAGATGGAAACACGAAAACGGCGTTTCGAAATCTTCCCACTCTAAAGGCTGAATAAAAAAAAGATCGTTTACAGACCCCCGAAACGCCGGCTTCGTATGGATGAGAGGCTGGTTTGGTGAAAAATTTGTGCGTTTAGGCCAGGGTTCGTCTTCGTGTGGACGGGGCCTAAATTAAAACACCTCTTAAGCATTCCTTATTTCTACCTTTGTTGATTTTAGTTTTTTCTGTATTCTATTTTAATTGAAAAAAGCTTAGCCTACAACCAGTCTCGCTGGCTGCTTCACTGAGGGCTTTGTATAGGAATAAAATGTGAATCCACCACTAGGGAAATTGATTCCGCTTCTGGTGGGAAAGCACCATAAAGGTCTGACGTTGTCAAACAATGAGTATCTCTTGTGATTGTCAGGATAGGGTTGAATGAGCTTATATATAACTTTATGTTTTTATGGGTGAAGCTTCTGCCTTCTTGCTGCTCCTTTAACTATTTTGAACAAAATTACAACCTCCCAAACCTTTGCCTCTTTTACATATTATTACCTAGGATGATTTGCTTTTGTATCTCGTTGTAATGATAACTATCCACCCATCTAACAACTTTCATGATTTACTGTCTGACTTTGAATTAGAGAGTTTGACATTGAGATTTGGTGACACGGATTGTAAATCAAGGAGTGAAACTATTTGAAAGACCAAATCTGATTTGACGGGGAAGACTGTGGGGTTTACCTGCCACTTATCACAGCTAATAATGACAGCTGGTCCTCTGGAACAATGAGTATGACAGCCTGGCCTCCCACCATCAGCTAGTTGCCAAGGGAGGCAACAAAGAGGAAGAAGAAATGAGTGCATAGAAAATATTCTTAGGAAATCAGGGAGACACCATGCCTTCAGGCAGATTCCACCTCTTTGTATGATGAGACTAAAAAGAATCTCAAGTATTTTGTCACATTAGGAGGGAGATTATTGTGGAAAACTCTGGAAATGTCTATAAAAGATGATTTGTAACATGCAGTGAATGTAAGGGAGAGGCATCACTAAAGCTTTGAAAAGTGGAAATCAAGTACGAGTACACAGCGGGGCTTGTACCAAGAGAGACCAACCCAAAAATATATCAGCAGCTCCCGAAGGAGGAAGATAATCCTGCTTCTGACGAGCAGGGAGGGCTGGGAGCAAGCGCAGCTCAGAGACCCTGTGGAAGACAGCAATTCCACAGAGACAGAAGTGAAATAGAGGGAGACTGAGAGACCAAAATAGAGAACAACAGGACAAGAAATGAGGCAAGATTGTCATATGAACTTCTGTTTGTGTCGGTCTGAGGAATTCACTGCTGCTTGACCAAACAGACCTAAGCCATGACTCTAGTAAAAGGCAGAGGTTCCAACAGTATTTTCTCACCTTCTCCTGTTACAGTATACCTCGTGCAGTACCCCCAGCCCTCCAACAGTCCCCTGAGGTTTGATCAAAAATCACTTACCCTCCATTGGAGTATTGCTGTCTGTCCGGTTGGCAAAGACCACATCTACATAATCCAACTGCATTCTCTGGAGGGAACCTTTTAAACCTGAGGACAGAAAAATATTTGAATAAGTTAGGAAGGATTATATGTTGAAAAAGGGCAAAGTAAAGTACAAGGCATTACATGATTCTAGTCCCAATGAAGATAGGTCTCCATTTTATGCATCTAACGCTGCCCATTATCAAAGCTTTTCTAGTGCAAACATATTTTCACTAATGGTGAATCTCTAAGCTAATACGATTCTTGGAATGATTAAAAATAATAATGTCATATCAGTAATTTAATTCTATTTTTGCTGAAAATCAATACAGAAAATATTTGTTAAATTCAATTCATGATGGCAGGTTGATAACTACAAACTAAACAAGAGATCCAGTTAAAACTAGTTCATCGCAGAATGGTCTGCTATTTAAAGACACAATGAGAGTACAGAGTCAAAGAGAATAACAACTTCTTTAAAATAATTTTAGGAAATTAGACTCTGACTTTTAAACGTTAAACAATTTATAAAGTTGGTTTCATTAAGCAAAATATATATAAATGTATTTAATTATTGAAACCATTATTTATGTTGGCTGTGATGTGGTCTAATAAACTGGAAATACTCTCTCATCTAACACAAACAGGGACATTGGTTAAAAAATGTGTCCCCAATCCATCGCAGTCACGCACACACTCACATCCAAGGAGCATTTAGAGAAGCCAATTAATCTAACAGTCGTGTTTTTGAATTGTGGGAGGAAACCGGAGTACCGGTAGAGAACCCTCCATGCGCAGGGAGAACATGTAAACATGCAAAACAGACCCTGGGCCAGGAATCGAAGCTGGAACCTTCTTACTGCAAGGCAGCAGTGCTATACACTGTGCAATCTGCCAATTTATTAACAGAATCACCAAATATTAAAACAGATCTAGTATGTATTTTTTACACTTACATTTTAATTGGTGTATTTAATATTTCTCCTTCCTTCTCCACACAGTTCTGACTGTTCAAAGCTTGCTGTATGAGGTTAGGGTTCATAAAGGGCACACCTTTCGATAGAAAACTGAAATCTCTCTAAACTGTGTCCTTGTACAAATTCACAAAAAAATCTTAACGGATAAGAAAAGATCTCAGAGAAAGAATTGTGGATTCTTCACAGGTTTTGCTCATCCTTGCATATAATATTATAATGCCTGAAGATGCCTCGTTTATCTGTTAAAACATTTCTGTGCAAGCTTAAACACCATGGAAGTAATGAACCATTGCAAAGTTCAGGAAGGGGACAAATCCAATATTGCATACATAATATTTGGGTACAAAATCTGCATTTTAACCCTAGGACAAAAGCAAAAGAGTTTGAAAAGATGGTGACCGAAGGAATTATAAACATTCTTATCAATAACAACAGACTAGTTGCGTGCTGATATGAGTTACACTAATTAGCAAGGAAGAAACCATTATTCTAGAAGCACAGAGAAAAAGACTTTATCTTTGAGATATTTCCTGCAGTCTCATGAAAACTAAATGTTTTTGGGCATAATGACAATAGCTATATTTTGGGGGAAAATGGTGAAGTTTACAAGACTGGTAGCAACAAAAGGTTATTAGATCTGATATAGGAAGGACTTGTCCACTTCAAAAAAAGCATTCTGAGAAAGAAAAAGCAGAGTGCTTTAAGCAAAAAAAAAAGTGCCGGTATTCCCCTTCATGCCGTTCAAATATGCAACAGAACTATGGGTAATATTTTATACATATATCTATTGATCTATAGATCTAATAAAAAACAAATCAAATCTATTAGAGACAAATTCAAAGTTTCATGAAGCCACTTTTATTAACTTCAAGCCTCATGATGTTAACATGGAAATATACCGCAAAAAAAGAGAAAGATATAAAATAACAGAGATTTATAGACAAATAAATTACGGTATGATTCTCTCTTAAGATTTTAATAAGGTTGATGGTTCGCTTCTGTGAAAAAATATGTTTTCTTCATATTAGGCCTGGCCTCAACCTACCAATGCCCTTTTTAACCACATCATTTATTAAACACTGCCACTCATGCACTGAGCCTAGGGCAACAAAAATCATTGGGCTTGTCAAAAATCACAGATATAGTAGGTAATCATAATAGCCACATTTTCAGAGTAGAAATGTGTAAAGCATGTTATAAGATATAAGCAATACAAAAATATTTACTCAATAAAAATATCGACCTCTTGCCACTTTCTTCCATGGTTTGTAATTGAATAGTTAAAAAAGCTGCTACAGGTTTACAAAGTCATGAGATGTTGAATCCAAAACATCTTGGCAACGAGAATATGAAAAAAAGCAATAAGGGGTGTCAATGTTAATGTGTAAATGCACATTTTTAAAACAAGTTCTTTTTAGTAAGGACAGGGGGGGGATAAAGTCCCAGTATGCTGTTGGGTATTTGGAAGTGAAAATACTGCATACCTTAATTCCTTTTATATGGAATATAAGACAAAAATCTCAAGGAATTAACCAGGGAAGTTAAGGCTTTGGTGCAAATGAGCCTTCTACATGTATAATGACCCCAAACACAAGGGAAAAGTAGTTTTATCATGGGATTAAAAAACATCCATCCATCCATCCATCCATCCATCCATCCATCCATCCATCCATCCATCCATCCATCCATCCATCCATCCATCCATCCATCCATCCATCCATCCATCCATCCATCCATCCATCCATCCATCCATCCATCCATCCATCCATCCATCCATCCATCCACCCATCCATCCATCATAGGTCGCCAATGATTGAAAACATAAAATTGCTCAACTAGCAGTTAAAGACCAGGAAAGGCTAGTGCATAAAAAATTAAAAGAAATATACCTATCAAAATGCTCCACGGTAATATCCACATTTGTCGGAGACAAAGTATTATTTGAATAATATACCACAGGTCTTAAAGATATGCTATCAGAAATGAACTCATTCTAACAAGAAGATCAACAGTATGAGGTGAAAAAAAGAAAAAAAACCTGAACTATTACAATCATCTCTCTGTTACATAAATATGTTGTTAGTTGGGGGGCAAGCATGTTATGCTGAAAGAAGACATGGGAACATAAGAAAGGTCATTCTCAGCATTTGCTCAAGCGAAGACCAGATGAGAAATGAAAAGCGTACACGGGAGAATAGAACAAAGGAGGTCGGCAGAGTAATAGAGACATGGAACGGTAACGGTGTGTGTGTGTGTAAGAGGCAGATTAATGCCAGAGGCTTCTTCATCACCCACTAATCCCAGCTGAGGGATACACCACTTCCTAGCACTGCTAGAACTCCTTATACCTTCCCCTGTCATTTGCTCCCACACAATCTCTGAAACATTACTTTACATGGATTCTAATCGGAGTTTGCACCGTCATCACACGCTGCTGTCGGCTGGATTAGCTGGAGTTTAAAGGGCTGTGAAGGCAGCCTATTTTTGGAAGCGAGAAAACACGCAGAACAACAAAGCAACTCTGCCAGCATCTGTAGCTAAATGATGCATTCAAATCTCAAGCTCCACCAAAGTTGTTCAGCCAATGCTCAGGATGTCAGGAAATTTATGAAAATGTTCAACATGCTTTCAGGTTGTTTGAGGCTTGTTTGCCTCAAGGTCAAACCAGGATAACAAGCGTTAAGGAGTAATAATCCCTAAAAAAGGTGACATTGAAGGGCTTTAGTGAAAAAGACAGTTTCAACAGATGCTTAATTCAGCCAGAACATTAGTCTATGATGGCATGTGTCACATCAGTTTCTCACACAACTCTGTCATGCAGAAGAAAACTGGGTATGACTAATTAATAATGATTTGTTCCTTAGCCACCACTGAATCTCTGCTCTCAGCATCCTGTTCCCTTGAGTTTGGCTTTTGCTAGGTGCATTTATCCCTTGTTTGGTGGAGAACGCTGCAGAGGCTGCAGTGACTGCTAATAATGTGAAAGGGAGCTGAGTCACTGTAAGAGGTGCATTGCGCTTCGGATTGGCGAGTTGTTTCAGTGGTGTAGAGGTAGAGAAAGTTTAGCTCCATAACCTCATTTAATATGACAGTTAGGATTAAGGAGGTGGCAGAAAAGAAAACAAGAGCAGACATTGATTATAGTACTAAAAAATAAAAGGTGTGAATTTTTGAGAAAGAAAACCTGTTAGAGTTATAAAGGACACCACATTTGCCAAATTTTGATCCGGCACTGAAAATTTCGGATTTAAACTCTGCGTTTTTTTCTTGCTACTGAAGATGTAAGAGGAGACAGGAACAGGAAGAAAATGAGAAAAGGAGGTAGTTCTGCAGAGAGGGGATAGGGCTGCGATGTTAAAGGATAAAGCAAAGGGCAGGATATCGACTGATTACCTTCAATTATGTGTTTTCGGTTAAGGCCTCTCTCTGTCTCAGCTCTGAAATAGGAAAAAAAGAAATCATAAGATGGGAAACACACAATAGTTGCAACTGTAACTGCTTAAGCAGAGGGCTAATAATGCTAAAGAGGATTCTGTAATATCTAAATATCTCAAGATTTGACATTTTCAAAGCTAAGAAGACATGTCCAATGACCTAAACTAACAATCAAACCCCAGAGAGCACAAATTAGATAGGGCCATGATCATTCTGGAGAAGCTGCCATTGTGAGAAAGAAATAAGTCACTTTTCTGTTGTCTACAAGTTATGTAGGTATACCATATCTTTTTAACTGCACAATAATCCTTTAAACAAATACCACAGTCCTCTAGAACCTTTTCCTGGATGTCTATTCTGGAGCCTTCCCAAACTTCTGAAGGTATATTAGTAAAAGTATTTAGGGGAGTAGCAGCCTAGTGGTTAGGGCATAGAGCTTGGAATCCTGAGGTTCTGAATTTGAGCCCCACTCCCACAGACTGCCACTCTGGGTCTCTGAGCAAGACCCTTAACCCCACACTGCTCCCCAGGCGCCGCACAATGGCAGCCCACTGCTCCCCAAGGGGATGGATTAAATGCAGAGAATTAATTTAATTGCTCTGTACTTGTGACAGTGTAATGACAATAAAATGCTGAAAAAAAAGCCGTAGCAAAGGAGGATAAGATATTATACATTGGTATAGAAAAACCAGGAAGTTCGAGATATTAGCTGGGTGTTTCAGCTCAGGAGCCATGTCTTCTTAAGAACAAGATTATCTTTTATTTGAACTTTAACCTTAGAAATTAAAGAATGTTTCTTTGTCTGACAAAGAAAAGTTACAGGTATTAGTTGAGAACCAAGGGCCAATAAGTTATCCTGCCTAACCTTTCCTCTGGGGTCTGTGTTTGTGACACGTCTGATCCGCACTTTCCCTTCAGCTGTGTTTCTCACACGCTCCCAGGAGGGATACCTGACTGTGTAGCTGCTAAATGTTAACCGACATGTAGCTCTGTGATTCTCGGGGCAGTATTGCCATTGTGGTTTGTATGAAATTGTATCTTTGCAGATTGCCAGTCATTTAACCTTTGTTTACTCATTTATTAAGAAGGCTTCTTTATTTCATTCCCTGATGGGGCTATTGAAGGAGCAATTGCTGCCATAAACTGTGCACTCTGTGTCTACCTTACTTATAGAAAATACTCCTAGCTCAGTGCTTCTGCATTTCACTTTGTTTCTTTGAATGATGGAGCCATTTATGGCCCTAAAGCTGGACCTGCTTGTCTTGTTAATTGTCTAAAGATTACATTTGGTGTGAATTGGTCTATACAAATGAAAATTGATGTTATATTTTACTCAGCTTCAGTGATTTTAACCTTTCTGCATCTTTGACTCTCTGGCTTGCTTTTCTGTTAACTTTTTAAATGCTTTCTCTTTCACTATATCGTCAAGTAATCTTACATTTATAAAAAAATAAGTAGGAGGCATCCATTAAATATGCTCACTACTCTTTGAGTAGCTCCATAAATGCATTTAGGGTTGATGGAGACTTTAAATACACTATATTGCCAAAAGTATTTGCTCACCTGCCTTGACTCACATATGAGCTTAAGTGACATTCCGTTCCTAATCCATAGGGTTCAATATGACGTCGGTCCACCCTTTGCAGCTAGAACAGCTTCAACTCTTCTGGGAAGGCTGTCCACAAGGTTTAGGAGTGTGTTTATGGGAATTTTTGACCATTCTTCCAGAAGCGCATTTGTGAGGTCGCACACTGATGTTGGACGAGAAGGCCTGGCTCTCAGTCTCCGCTCTAATTCATCCCAAAGGTGTTCTATCGGGTTGAGGTCAGGACTCTGTGCAGGCCAGTCAAGTTCATCCACACCAGACTCTGTCATCCATGTCTTTATGGACCTTGCTTTGTGCACTGGTGCACAGTCATGTTGGAAGAGGAAGGGGCCAGCTCCAAACTGTTCCCACAAAGTTGGGAGCATGGAATTGTCCAAAATGTCTTGGTATGCTGAAGCATTCAGAGTTCCTTTCACTGGAACTAAGGGGCCAAGCCCAGCTCCTGAAAAACAACCCCACACCATAATCCCCCCTCCACCAAACTTTACACTTGGCACAATGCAGTCAGACAAGTACCGTTCTCCTGGCAACCGCCAAACCCAGACCCGTCCATCAGATTGCCAGATGGAGAAGCGCAATTCGTCACTCCAGAGAACGCGTCTCCACTGCTCTAGAGTCCAGTGGCGGCGTGCTTTACACCACCGCATCCGACGCTTTGCATTGCACTTGGTGATGTATGGCTTGGATGCAGCTGCTCGACCATGGAAACCCATTCCATGAAGCTCTCTGCGCACTGTTCTTGAGCTAATCTGAAGGCCACATGAAGTTTGGAGGTCTGTAGTGATTGACTCTGCAGAAAGTTGGCGACCTCTTCGCACTATGCGCGTCAGCATCCGCTGACCCCGCTCCGTCAGTTTACGTGGCCTACCACTTCGTGGCTGAGTTGCTGTCGTTCCCAAACACTTCCATTTTCTTATAATACAGCTGACAGTTGACTGTGGAATATTTAGGAGCGAGGAAATTTCACGACTGGATTTGTTGCACAGGTGGCATCCTATCACAGTTCCACGCTGGAATTCACTGAGCTCCTGAGAGCGACCCATTCTTTCACAAATGTTTGTAAAAACAGTCTGCATGCCTAGGTGCTTGAATTTATACACCTGTGGCCATGGAAGTGATTGGAACACCTGATTCCAATAATTTGGATGGGTGAGCAAATACTTTTGGCAATATAGTGTACATTGGTAGTTGCCCAGTAGAATGATTTTATCATATAAATTTGCACTATGCTCCTTTCTGTAGTGACTTAGATTATATTTGAAGAAAACCAAAAGAAGTATGTGAGTGCACTGGTGGATACTAGACATCCCTCGGTGAAAACCTGAAGGCTGTTTGGAAGGAGGAGGATTGTGACTAATAAGGACCGAACTGACAATATTTCAGCATGACAGCAGTAGCAAATATGATGTTTGGCCTGAGGGATCTAGATGTTAAATAAGACATGAAAGCATAAACAAGATGGGAGCATGCTGTCATTTTTTTTAAGTTTAATGCCCTGTGTGTGCACCTGTGGGTTTCCCACAATGTCTGATTCAACGGCATACTCCCTAGAACTGGAGGCAAACATTTTAAGTCTAGTCGGTCATTAGTCATATAGTCTGAACATCTGAGAGGCAAAACCTGCACGCCACATGCATTTAGAAAAGCTAAAACATTTGCACACACATGTGTATACTTACTTTCCTCCCCAGTAGAGCTTTGTGGTGATCACAAGACTGGATCTTCTGAAGGGTGCAAAAAAAAAAAAGATAAGGTAACAAACAAAAAAAAAGAGAAAAAAGTAAAAAAAAAAATCTTTAAAGATGTTAATATGTTTTAGCATGACAGTGCATATTTTAACACAGTGCTGTGTCTAAACTCAAGCAAGTGAAGCAATCAAATCAATTAAAGACAAGAGTGTAATTAAGTGATCTTACATCTTGTTGAGAGAAGTGACAGAGAGACAGTGCTCCTGTTTCTTATCAGAGGGGCTGGATTTTGAGGTTTTTCAAATCAAACTCCAATACATATTCCATGCTTGAATTTATCAAACATGTAACAATATTAATAAGCTCAGGAAGATGACAGTAAAAAATACTGATAAAGCATGTAGATATGTGCAAAAAAAGGTTTTCGTGATTAGTTTGCAAATTATGTAGAACCTGCTTAATAAAATAACTAGATTGCTGGGAAATGGGATTTCACGATTTAGTGCTTTCTTTATATAATTAATACAGCAGGTAGCATACTGTAATCAGAATCTCTTTGTTGTCATTTTGTATGCACATGGTGTACACAGAATTAAATTTTGTTGCATACAGCTCATGACAATATGATAAAATTGCAATAAAATAAGATAAAAATACAATCTTAAGTGCAGCAGAGATAGGAATGTTTCATTTTGCAAGAAGAAACAGTTTTAAAAAGTGTGCCAAAGAATGTACGACAATGTTGATAATACAAAAATAAAATAACAATGCATGCACGTTTCTTCAGCTCACCATATAGATGCTTGAAAGCAAAAAAGAAAGATAAGTTAAGTACTGTTAGCCTTTTTTTTTGTAATGATATAATATATATAGGCCTACATATATACAGCATATAGGAATGTTGTTTGGGCCAAGTCCTATATCATTTGCTTAGCAGTTAAACAGGAAAAATAAACTAACTTTTTACAATTTAATGTAATTCTGATGGCCATTTATTTTTCTATGTCAATAAAGTTAAAATAGGTTTCATTTTAGGTTTTCTTTCTACTTGTATTATGTTTTGTTTGTAGCATATGTTACTTCATGCCCAGCAGGTTTCTATGTAATTAAGATCAGTAAAATAATCCAAAACAGACAAATAAATATTGTAAGTCAAACTATTACTTTCATGATCCCTGCCCTGATAGCTGTTCTAATTGCTCACTTCACTCACCTGTCAAACCCTGGAGAAGATGAATGATGAGTAGTAACCGGGGAGGGTTACTACTCATCATTCATCTTATACAGCTCTTATATATGGCTACGGCCAGCTATCAGGGCCAGATCATTACATTTGTTTGTGTGTTTTTTTCGAGTTTGAGTTTTAGTTGAGACTGTGGCTAATTTCCAGGGTTTATGTTTTCATTCTTGGAGGTCAGTGGTTAGAGAGGGTTGTCAGTGTTGTCTTGTCATTTGCTGATCATGCCCTGGTTCTTATCCACTGAGCGTGCTCTGTTCTTCTTTGGCTCAGTGGAAAGAGCTTTCCTGGTGTTGTGTCGTGTTCTTCCTCTCAACTACTGAGCCTGTCTGTTTCCATCTGAATGTTTCTGTCTGAACTCTCTGTTGGACTCATGGAACCCTGAACCTACCTGTTCCTGTCCTGATCGGAAACCCTGACTGGGTTACGGACTCCTGGATCTCAGAAGCATCCTGTTCTGTACTGTTTCCCTAACCTGGCTCTGACACATTCAAAGAGTCGTTATAGACGTGCAGGAAGAATCTCTACATGTCACATTATCATCAGTTGAGTTTTTTCTTCAACTACATGCAAATATTATTTTTTGAGCTGTTTTAAAATTTTAACTTTTCAACTTTTTGACATTAAAAAGCTTTTATTTTGCATTTGAGACAAAAAAATAATACAAACTTTTACACACAGCCAACGATTGTATACTTAGAGCGTAATTCCTTGCATTTTTCCACAACAAACAAAAATCCCTAATAGTACCTGTTTGGCAAATGTTGTTATATTTTTCCAAATTCAATTTTTATTTTTGTTTTTTACCATTAAAGAAAGCTACTGGTTAAAAACAGTCCCTGTCTTTGTAATAGTTGCCATACTTTCATAAAAAAAAAAATTGGCAGTTTTAATTACAACTCAATATTGGCCCAGTTTAACTTTGATTGATTTAGTTTTGCTCCAAGGGAAATTGGGTTTTGATGGAAAACCCACAAGGTCTTCATTAGTGGGTAAGGAGAAGAGATGGTGGTAAATAATTAACCATCCTCTTCTCTCCTTACACCTTTGTCCTTCAGGTGTCTGCAGTAAATGTCCTCTAAGAACTGATGTTGTCATCATTATACCCCCAGAACTCTGGTTTATTTTTGCAACAACAAAGTTATTCATTCCCAAAAAAGAAAATTAAAAACAATCCACCGGACTTTGTTTCCAAGTTTGAAGGTTTCGCTACCATCCAGGAAGCTTTTTCATTTCAAAATGTCAAGAATAGTGTTGAGTTTGAGGGTTTATACACCAGGAAGCCCAGGTTTTGATGGGCTTCCTGGATAGGAAGCGAAACATCTTCAAACTTGGATACAAAGTCCAGTGAATTGTTTTTAATTTTCTTTTTTTTTTTTTTTTTTGGAATGGATATGACCTTTATGGCTGAGAATCTTCACCAGAACAAAGTTATTCCATTTTTAACTAATATACTACTTAGTCAGGTAGGATAATATCATAGCCTGTTTTAAGTTATACCCCATGACATCCTTAGCTCACTGTTTTGTAAAACAGTACAGTAACTTGCCCATTTCCTCTCCAGCCAAGACTCAGTCCTAAAAATGTCCTTCTGTGTTCAGAACACAATTAACACCCAACCCTTCCTTTAGGTTGTGTGAGGGGTTTTCAGATGTATTGTGCTTGTTCAAGCACATCTTGGGAATGTTAAATGTTTCTGGGATGTAGGGAGTTTAGAGACCATCTTATTGCCTCTGTCTTACCACTGTGATTCTTGAGCTGTTTCTTTGCAGCTTTACATGTAATTGTTTTGAGGGCTTTGCCTGCAAGGCCATCAGGGGGTTAGTAGGCAACACTTTTATGAATGTATGTAATCAAGATCACTGCATTTTTATGATGAATTGCTTTTTCTACCTTAGCATTCTCATAATGTACACATGCTTTATAATGTTGATGATTTAACAGCTTTACACAGGACCATGTTTGATCGTGATGAGGATGGTCGAAACGGAAATAATAAAGTTAGACATTTACATTTGGTTAGAATTATCATCTTATCTGCTGCTATTGTTTGCCTGGTGTGACCACTTTACCTCCAGCACTTTTTCTTGATGATGTTCCCCAAGATTATCTCTGCTCTGTGGAAGAAAACAAAGATTAAATCAAAAAAAGCAAAACCAAAAGCAACTCACCCAAGGAATGATGAGATTAGATTAGATTGCACATATTTCCCCGGTATGAACATGAACGTTATTAGCTGCGCTTCTGCAGCGTGATTAAAAACTGTACAAGAGAAAAGATAAATGACTCTTGGACTGTAGGTATGAATTCCTAAAGCAACCTTGAAGTGTATTTTTTGTATCTCCTACTTGTAGCCCATCATTCACCAAGATGATGTCCAGATTGGTGGTTATACTGAGCAGTGGTCATAAAAGGGAGGTGCTTGTGGGGAATCAGCAATACCTACCTCCAAGGACAACACATATAAAATAATGGACATAGGGACAAAAACGATGAAAGAAACTGCTAAGAGGACTAATAGAAAAGAAAGGGAGCATTAAAATATATATGTAAAAAAAAATAGATAAGAAATACAAAACAAAGGTTCAGCGATAATAGTTAGGTCATTTTAACCCTTATTCTTGTTCATAAATGGGGGAAGGTACCCTTCTAAATATGTTATAAAAGCGTAAGGATGATTACAAATGGGAGGCAGCACTCACTTTCCCCCAGAGTAGACCTCGGCCGTATCGAACAGGTTGACCCCACTCTCATAGGCGATGGTCATCAGCTGCTCTGCCACCTGAGAGACAGGTGAGAGAAGTCAGTGTTCATAATTCTCATGGTGATGGCCTAACCCAGCAATGGTGACTCATTTTTCAATTCAAAGGGGGAAGGAATCCCCCCCCCCCAAAAAATAAGGGCAAATTTGTTTTCCTCAGAGAAACAAACCACCACAGGCTGCTTGTGTGTTAAAGCTGTTTACTACAGGAAGGCTTCCTCAGACATTTCTGACCTAATTCTTATGCTTTCACTTCTTCCAGTATGAAAGAAGAGGAGAAATGATTCTAATGTGCTTTCCTCATTTAGTATTTATAATTATGCTTTGTGTGTTAGTTTCTCCCAGAGGCCATCCATCAGTGATGAGCTGTCCTCTATTCAGTGCCCCTTTTATCCCCTTTCCTCCAAGGATGGCTCAGACCATTAAAATATATCTTCTGACAGTGAAAAATGAAACCTGACCACTTGGACTTGTTGGACACTTGTTGGTTTAATGGGATATTTTAAAATGGATAACAGGGTGATAATGATGGTCTACATACACCCACACAATTTAACATGAAGCTCCAACAAATTCCTTCCATAAGTGGTGAACTGTACACTGTTTTCTTGACCTAGCTAGATTGAAAAGAATGAAAGCCAGCATCTGCTGTAGAGCTGCAACTGCTGAGTAATGGAAGTGACATAAAGCCTTACCTCATCAGAGATCTGACCTCCAAATGTTACCCATGTCCCTGTTAAAGGAAATTCCACAAGTCAAATCTCCAGCAAAAGAAAATATATATATATGTAACACTTAAACAAACCAGTTGGTTTTAATCTGCATTCATTAATACTTCAACCTTCGTTCCACACAGATCGAGAAAATGCATCCTGGCCTTAAGCCATTTGTACCAAATGTCAGCTAAACCTTCTTTAAATATAGTATTATTCTTGCACATCCAGAGAGATGTTTTTTTTATTTTATTTTATCTGACATCAAAATATATAGACATTCCACAGCAGGAATGTAATGTGCAGAGTGAATTGGAGCATCACTGCTATCTGCCTGTCGGTTCCATTAAGATCAAACAAACACAAATATCCCAAGGATAAGAACTGAACCTGAAAAAATGAGATGAAAGTTAGATTAAATCAGTGTGAGTAAATGTAATCAGCATTATAATATAATATATCAATAAGAATTAAGTTTAGGTTTGAATATTTTTTTTAACTAAATATTGTTTTTTTGGTTGCTCCTCCCATTCTAGGTATTGATTGGAATTGGCCTGTACTTATACAGCACTACAAATCAGGTGCTTTAAAATAGCTTTGCAATGCAGTCAGTTTTTCACTCATTCACAACGGAAAGCTACATTATAGCCACAGCTGCCCTGGGGCACACTGACAGAGGCAATGCTACAGTACTTGGCACAGAGCACCAGGCCCTCTGACCACCATCGGTAGGCAATGCAGGTGAAATGTCCAGCTCATGGAAGAAGCTAGGGTTCGAGCCTGTGGCTGGTTCTAGGAAGAACTCCTACATCCTACGACTGTTGCCCCACGAGGGGCTATTTTTGCATGCAGTTAAGGATTTTTTTATAAAGGTTTTATAAGTCTCAAATTGTATTTTAACAAAAATATACTATGTTACAAGCAATACAAAGGCGTCATAAATTTTCGGCTAGAAAATTGTCAAGGATTTACTTAATTTTAGCTCTGATGTATTCCTGATAAAAGGGAGAGCTATATCACCTACAATACAAATTGTTTTCCCCTCATAATTTAATAATGTCAGGTCCTGTTTTCAATAATATGCTGCCTGACAATGTTGCCAAAATTTCAGTATTACATGTCACTAATAAAAAATAATGGATTTTTTCAGTTAGATATTTAGCCAAATGTCCAGTAATCAGGCAGCAGATTGGTGTAGGCGCAGGCTGAGTTTTCCCAGCTGGCATTGGCAAAAACACAATCTGCTTAATTTACAGGATGGACCCATTGAATAAGGCAGAAATTTTCATTTCACATACTATACTATAGGGATTATGTCTTATGGGGGATTTTTCTAAATCAAGATGTTGCTTTCTTAGCAATGATAATAAGTAAGTGAGTTAAATCTGACAACCTGTGATTCACTCATTTCCCCAATCTGGTCTATTTCAAGGCCTTAACAGCTCATTGTAGGTGAAATGTCAGGAATATGGATTGCATCAAGGGTAACATTCATAACTCAAAAGTCCAAGGTCAAAATTTTCTTTGGGTTACCGGAGGAACAGTTTTGGTCTCTGAACAAAAACTAGGCCTTTCTATACTCTACTCTATTCTTATTATTATTAGACAGCGCACCTTTAAGATACTTTGAATGAATTGGACTCCACGTGTGAATTGGTGTAGCTATGAAAACAATGAATGCAGTTAAACATCCCTTATAGCCCAGATTGTCTAGCTCACTATGTTTTTTTTATTCTTTTTATCTAGAAATAACCTTTTGCTATTAATAAAATCATTCAGTTTTTTTCTGCACAAGAGAAGATCATTTACAAAGATTTTTTAAATCTAAATAAAACATTAGGAATATACTCCTGAGGAAATTCGGAAACAGAGTTGGAACCTTGGACTAGGAGACAAGGTCCCTGACAACTTGTTTATAAAAACCTTTGGAAGACTTCATAAAAGTGCATCCTGTTCCAAAATGGGGATTGTTAAGTTTAATTGAATTAACATCACTCACTTTCAATACCACATTAGCAAAATAAAAAACAGGTCTTCTGGTCATGCCCACCTTTTGCTAAATTATCTTCAGTAGATTTTCAAACGTTTTACAGTCTGGGGTTAAAGTTTTTACTGAATCTATATAATCCATTTTTGGTACTGAGCCAACTGCTCAGTGGTGAAGGAGCAAATTTAGCAAGATGGCAGCAGTCTGTACTATTGCACTAAGAAACTTGTGTGTGTAGTAATTTAGGGGAATTGGGGTTTAAGTGTTGATTGGAGATATCCGAGGATCTTTGTGATTTCTGTTTGTAGAAGAAAATATATGCATTATTTTCATGCTAATCATTGTCCACTAAAACTCTCTTAAAAATGGAGATGGACATATAAAATGATAAAGGAGGTATTATCACGTCTTTTGCAATTTGAAAGTCCAATACTGAATAGTGTATTTTAGCACTAATTTACAAATTCATTCATACACATGTGAAAAAAAGGCTTGTGTTCAGAGAAAATAATGCAAAGCAATGATTCTGTGCTTTTCTAAACCAGCATTTTTTTAAATACTGGAAAATGTAATTTTACATTTCTGATATGATGTTGACAAATGTTGCTTTTATATTGCTGTGATGAAAAACCCTCTTTTTTTATTACTTGGGATGGGACTGTTGGGAACGTAAGACTTTTGTGCAAAAAAGCAAAGTAAAGAAGAGTTGTGAGAGGCCTTGGCCAAGATGTGTTTTTCATAACATTCTAATCATTTCTCCTGCTTGTGGTTATTTCACTAACACAGTTTACCGCCAACTTCCCCACCATCTGAGCAAAGGTTCAGGAAAGTTAAAGCTTCTAAGATTTCCTTGAATTTAACTGAACAGTGAAAAGGTCAAAGAAAAAAGATATGCACTATAGCTGGGATCTAAATGCCACATAAATATTGTAAGCATCATATTTTAAATGCGTTTTTTCTTCTTTTTGTCAAAGACTGGTAAACGAAAATAACCTTTTGCTCAAGGGCACTGCAACATGATATAAAGCACTGCTGGATGTTTTTTTCCCATTATATTAACTGTTGCTCAGTGAGCTGTGGGTAATTTTTTTAAAGAAAAAAAATTGAAAAGGGAATGATTAACAGTTTCATTCTAACCGTTTTCTCGTTGGTTGGTGAGCCAGGAAAACTCTGTATCATCTTGGTGCCTTGTAAAGCAATTTTTTTTCTCAGGGTCACAACCCCCTGAAGAAATCTAAAAGTATTTTTCTGGATGAATGAGAAGAAAAGAAGACTTCCCCTGGAGGTTTGGATCATATATATGTAACAGAGTTTTCTGTTTACTGAAAACCTCTCTGCCGATTAAATATTAACAGGGGAACTGTTAATGTTCTCCAAATGGCTGTTTTGTCTCTCATGGCTTCCCATACAAATTAAATATGCATGAGTTTTAAAATGCTGCTAATGATATGATTTATTTAGAGGCAGTCTGACTCCAAATGGCTGTCGTCCCAATCAATCATCCACACACAAACAATTAAGGCTAGGTAGCACCTGAATGTTTATGAAGTCATTAAATATTTGCTTATTCTAATTAAATGCACTCACCGAGGCCCAGACAGGAGACACGCAAACCAGATTTCCCCAGGTTCCTGGGGGGGGGGGGGGAAATCAAAGCTTGATTCAGAAAGAGGACCAACAATTATATCCACATGCCATCATTAGAGTGTGATTGAAATGATTATCTTCTATCCTGTTTGAAAGCAACAGGTAATGCCGAACAGGACATTTCAAAATCTATGGAAAAGGATCAATACCTAATAATAGTGTTGGGTTTCTTCTCATGCTTCATGGATCAAAGATTTACAGAATCCCCCGTTTTTCACTTGAAATCATGATTCATAGTTCAGAGATTAGATGGGGAATTAAGAAAAAGCCTCTAAGGATGCTTTTCCCCCCCTAAGTACAGTTTAGGAAAGAATGCATTGCCCTTTAGCTTTCCCACGGTTACAGAATAATCAAAGCATTGATAGAATTAGCTGATTATATGCATTGCCATTGACAGTAGCACTGGAAATGGAAAAAATATGCATGCACATTGTTTTTTTTTTTACGTAGGCTACATAATGTGAAAAGTGCAACATGTATATATATTCAGGCTTCCCTTCCCCTGATACTTATCAATTAAATCCTGTTTTATCACCTTCCTAATGCAGTTGATCCTTGAGCCCAAAATAATGCACACTACTATATGCAGAGTGGATACATTTTTAACACTGCTGCTTGTCTTGTTTTTCAAATTAGATTCTCCATAGCCGCATGTTAACAACAGGGAATAAGCTGGGAATGAGTACAAGTCACAGCAGACAGCAGAAGCTACATTTTCCAAGAACATTTAGACCAAGGAGAAAAATAAATAAAAGAAAGATGATCAGAAGACAAGCCTAGATTGTCTTAGTTTAAATCAAAGTGGTTAGATAGTAAGATTAGATAGTCCAGTTAAGACCTAAATTCAATTTAGGCTTTATATACACTGAGCAAAAACAATTTAACCATTTAGAAAAATCTGAGCATAAATGTGACACTGTGGGATGCCAGAGGAGTTGGAAGAGGTGTACGGTACCTAGTAGGATAGTTGTAAAAAAGAAAGAAGGCGGATGGTGGAATTTTTCTTCTTTTTTTTTGAAAGCATTCATAGCCTAATTAATATATTCTATTAACCTAAAGCACTATGCTTGGTATGGTTGTTACATGTCAGGTACACCAGTCATTGCCCTTTACCAAGGCACCTTACAGTAGAACTGCAGTCAGGCACTGGCATGGCTATCACTGTCCCTACATAGTTAGGGAAAAACGCAGAAGACATATTTCCCACTGGGATCAGCTTCATAAGTGAGTACTAGTGGTACCCCTGCCAACAAAGTCAAGAAGAGAGAAGAGGGAAGAAAAAAGAGCAAGGTGAAAATGTCAGGAGAGTGAATAGAGGCGTTTTTATTGACTGACAATAAGGTAGTCTAAAGAAATACCATGAAGGAGCAAACCATGTGGTTTAAAATCCTTAATATTTGGAATAGCCACATCTCTTAAGTCCACACTCATTATCCAAAGTGAAGCAACTTTCTTAACTAAGGAAGCAACATTGTTCATGTGGAGAGGACCTCGGTTTGATGTAAAAACAATAGTTCAGTGGGTGAAATGGACGTACAGAGAAGTTCAAATCCCATCGACACCTCCTTTCTCTCCCATTCTAAACTCCCAACATAAAACGGGAGAATCCAAACAAAGCCCCAAATTGATGTCAATTTCGGGGATGTTGCCTTATTTGGTTCTGACCTGTACTTTTGACAAGCCCCGATATTGACATACAGACCAGCCCACTGGTTCTCTGGAAAAAGAACATGAATAGAGGTAGCTGTAAGAAAGCAGTTTAGCTGTTTAGCCAACAGTTGGGTTTACTTCTACAAGAATTACAAAGCAGGCAGTTCATTTGCTCTAAGCAAACCAAAGACATCTTTTGAAATCTTGGACAGTTCAAAGCAGGATTTGCTAAACTTGTTTTACTGAAAGTCGACTAAAATCCTGGACGATTTTGAAATTCCCCCCGGACATTTGTGTAGGTATGAAAAGTAGGACATGTCCGGGAAAAAGAGGACGTCTGGTCACCCTACCATATCAACAATTTTGACATTTCAGTAAAAGCTTGTTGCTATGATGCATCTTTGCTCAGCAGCTTTGCTCGTTGTTAACCAACCAATCAGCGCACAGCTCATCTAAATATTCATGAGCATACCATAAAAGGAAGAAAACCTGTCGTTTCATTCTAGGGCTTTTAACCAGGCTTGCATTAGGGCTCATAGAACAGCAAATATGCCATTTTCAGTCCAACCAATGTTACCTTTTCAGAGAACTTAAGGTACAGCACCAAATACCCTATATAATCATTCTATGACCCCTTTAAAGGAATAGTACACCCAAAACATGATTAGCCTTCATTTTCTACTCACCCCCAAGCTGAACAACACTCTGGAGTACTTTTTTGATATCTCAAATGCATCTGGAGATCTGGGAGGCTTCTTGCTGTCTGCTGACATTCAAATAATAGAGGTCTATTGTGCCCGAGACAGAAAGGTCCATAAAAGTCCACAAAAACGTGTCAATATTCCTCCATACTGCTCGTCCAATGTATTCCAAGTGTCCTGAGTGGGTAGCATCCAGAATTTACTCGAAACGAAGTCATTTAGAATGTTTTTAGAGCATAAACAGTAGTGTATAGGATTTCCTGAAAGCGCGCACATGCGCGTTCATGACGCTACGGAAGCCGGCAGACCAAACCAGCGCATTCAGCTCGGCAAAGAACTCATGCTCTTCCTCAACACTGAAGTCCTCAGACATTTTTCTTTCGTTGTTTCTTTCTTTGCACAGGTAAACAGCACATTTCTTCTTCTACGCTTGCATTATTGGCAGAGCAGACGCTGAATGCGCACTTTCATCTGGTTTGGTCTGCCGGCTTCCGTAGCGTCGTGAACGCGCATGTGCGCGCTTTCAGGAAATCCTATACACTACTGTTTATGCTCTAAAAACATTCTAAATGACTTTGTTTCGAGTAAATTCTGGATGCTACCCACTCAGGACACTTGGAATACATTGGACGAGCAGTATGGAGGAATATTGACACGTTTTTTGTGGACTTTTATGGACCTTTCTGTCTCGGGCACCATGGACCTCCATTATTTGAATGTCAGCAGACAGCAAGAAGCCTCCCAGATCTCCAGATGCATTTGAGATATCAAAAAAGTACACCAGAGTGTTGTTCAGCATGGGGGTGAGTAGAAAATGAAGGCTAATCATGTTTTGGGTGTACTATTCCTTTAAGAACTGAACTTCACACATGCATTCAGTCCAATCGAATGAAACCAGATTTGTTATACAACTATTTGGCTAAAATTCAATCTGAGGTGAATAAATATCCTCAAAGAACTTCAGCTCTAGAAGCATCAGCAGGATGTTTTAAGTATTTCACTATTATTGGTTCTATTTCTTTATTTATGTGATTGAGAGCTAAATACAAATGCACACCAGAGTTTTATTATTGGTTCTAAGTACACTGTTTACAATCTAAGACAGTAATATTACATTTAATGGCAGAAAGATTTTTTTTGTGCTGCATTTTGTCAGATGTTGCCTTTTTCTGCTCCTCCAACCCTCCTTACATGACTGGGTCTTATCCTCTGAGTATTTGACATCTTCCCGCAACAGGAAGCACATCCGCCCTGAGGCTCTTTGCTGTTATTGTCTTTACGAACAAGGTGCAGACGTTCATTTCTGAGCATTCATGTTGCATCACGTCAGTGTTTTGCTTTTTTTACTTTGCTTCTTTCTCCATTGCATCTTTAATCCCATGAACTTTACATCAAACATCTGTTCGCCTGATTACAGTCTATCTTACTCCAGCCAATTCATCTCCCATTACAGACATCAGACTTCTTCCCTTGCTGCGTTTTATTCAGTTTCACATTTAATCTCAGGTTTTAGAATCATGGCCCATTAAGTCCAACTGAGAAATAGGCCAATGAGGTGCAAGCTTTTAATTGCATAATACAGAAAAGGACTGCAGGAGCCTATTGTTCTCCCCCCTGGCCACCACAGGTGTCTGCCAGAAGTGTGATGGATGGGACTTTAGAGAAAGGAAACTACGACAGGGGAATCTGCAAAGCTACAAGGGCATCCTCCGTCATCCAACTGTGGAACCTATTATATTCCAAGGCCAGACAAATGAGCTCAAAACGATCAAAAGCATGACACTTTATTTTGAGAACAAGCACGTGAAAATAAATGTTCCAATTATAGGAATCCTGTCATCTGCTCTGTTTTGCAGGCACTTACTCATTTCAACAAATGAGGCTGTAAAACACCAAAGGCGGTCATTTTCTTGTGTCTGAAAAGCTGCGCCTGTCGATTGAAAACAGAATGTTTTAAAGGATATTTGGTCCAAAACTTCCGTCAACCAGTTGGAATAGCTGCTTAAAGTTAAGATGCATAAAGATAAGTTTGACAAAGCTGTGAAGGTAAGAAAGGCAGATGTACCAAATTAGAGGATTTACATGCAAACACCAAGTGTGTAATTAGAGCACCAGGAATAGGAGACAGATCTCACAGCAGGGCTGTGCTCTTGTCAGCAAATTAGCAGAGAAGTTTGGAAATTGTAGCCTCTGCTTCTCTGATGTATTATAGAATGAGAGCTCTGATCCATGAAAGAGTGGAGGAAAAGGTTAGGACTCCGGGTTAGATCCAATCTCTACCAGTATGGTTGGGGTTTGTTAATGAAGGCAGAACTGAATCAAGGAATGCTCATTACAACATTTATTGCAAATGGCCCACGGTTAAGCATCTGTTTCATTGATTGAAACAGATGTAGATTGTATACAGGTTAGTCTTGTATCTACATAGATTCTGTTTAGATGGTTGCAGAATTACTTGAAGCACAGTATTTCAGAAAAGTAAGAAAAGACTGCAGATTGAATTAGGCTGGCTGTGTCTAAAAAGCTGTGCAGTATGACTTGGTTGCTTCAAAGGATAGTTAAATAATTTGAAAAATACACATCTAATAATCGGTAGAACTGGGATGTTTATTTACAATAAAACCACATTTGTC